TTTTTTTTTTTTTCAGGATTAAAAAAAACCGCTTAAATCAAGTGAAATCGGTAAAATAACGACACCAGGAGCAAGCAACACACGTATGGAATAAGGTAAGCCATTTTTATTGAATATTTTCCCTTTTAACTATCTCTATGGCTATCTTGTAGAAAACCCCATACAAATCCTTATAAATCGATATGCAAATTTTGTTCCGTGTGTTCCTCAAAGAGAGCGTGGGCGCTTGTGATCAGATGGTGTCTCGTGTCGCTTTTTTTCCTCATTCTTGGTGAGGGCCTCCGGCTGTTTTCAACGTGAACTAAAAAACTATCTTTACTTGTTATATCATACGAATTTTCTTTACTGGCGGACTTTCAGTGAGAATTCGAAAGTTTGTTAGTTCTCTATTTATATATGTAGCAACAGTATGCGCCAGCTTGTTCGAATCATCCGACTCAATCGAAAGTACGTAATTTGTGATAAACTTTAAGCGGCAGTCAGATATTTCTTGTTGTGATATATAATGTAAAGGTCGCCCGGTTTGTCGTGTCTCTCATCCATCCTACCTTATTCATTTTAACGATGTCCATTCCAACTTCATCAAAGAAAGGTTCGTAATCAGAGAAATTCGTTGCACACGGATCCTTGTAGGCAAATGCTTTGCTAAATGTTTCCCATAACTGTGAGCAGTTCTTAGCGTTAACCGCATACACCTTTTGCCGTTGAAAGTCCCAGCATCTACCGAGGACAATTTCCTTTAAATGCCTATCCGAGCCAAGCGAAGATGTTGAATGTAAGGAAGCTAAAACCACTAGCAGCCATAAGGCAATTTTCAGGGCCATTTTAATGAACCAGCTCGTTTGTATTGTCTCGCTGCACTTGGGATTTAATGCTTTAATATATGTAGACAAACAGGAAATGTTTCTATTCATAGATCCAGATGTCATGAGATTGTCCCGGTCGTTATGTCACGCTTCACGAATATATGGGGTTGGGTTGAGGAGGCCTGGTGAGACCTTTTTTTATTAGGCATTGGGCAGTGCTATGTAACGCAATTCAATAGACCAATGTCACGCTGTAACGGTCCTGGAATTTGTAAACGAAGAGTGGGTCACATAAAGTAATTAAGGGGGCAACATTTCAACAACAAAAAAACGGTGCCGGTCTTCCATCTTAAAATGCAGGCTTAACAATAGCGGGTCTTGCAATTCATTGAACCCTCCATTGAATGAATCAATGATCATGATCAATGACAATGACAATGAATCTGATCATCCATTTATTTATGAGAAGCATGAAATATTACTTCTTCTACATTCGCCACGCACATGTAACAACTTATTACAAATCGATTTAGTCAAAAAACTGCCGGAGGTACGGCTCGATGCACAGATTTGATCTTTGACTTTCGTCAATGCCCAAGTCATTGCGTTCTGAGCTTGTTGAGTTTCACACTAATAAATGTAAATTAATAAGAATGATGGTAGGTTTTGAGCTCGGTAACTAAATATAGAAAATCTTGCAGCCTTGGTATGTAGCACGTCAATCTCGAGCCCAGGGTCATTTTGGCACCTTGTCAGCGGTATGGTCGTCAACACACCGCTGACAAGGAGCCAGAATGACCCTGAGCTCGAGATTGGTAGCACGTGTGAAATATCTCTTTTGACGCAGCAACATTGAATATTAAATATAGAAAATTTTTTTTCGTTTTGTCACGAGCGAGACATGAGGAATAGTATGGGCGGCCGTCACCACCAAAAATGCAACGATGTAAAATAGATCAGCAAATGCAAAGATGGTTTAAGGATCAGCTGCAGAATAGCATGCGCATAGCTAATAAAAGGAATGGTATGGCCAAATATAAACAGTTTAGTTTTCCTTCATGGGCGGCCGTCACCACCAAAAATAAAAGGATGTCAAATAGATCAGCAGATACAAAGATGGTTTAAGGATCAGCTGCAGGATAGCATAGCAAATAAAGGAATGGCATGGCCAAATTATAGTTTATTGGCCAAATTATAATTATTGTTTCAAAAATAACAATGGTCGGAGGCAACCAATTTCTATAAAACTCGGCCAAATTATAGACCCTAAACATGTTTAGTGATAAACACGAGCGATAAAAAATATGAACGACGTTTCGACCGCTCCACGGTCATTTTTAAGTTGGAGTTCAAGGGTAAATTTCCGCATACATACGATTTCTGAAACAATGGAATGAAG